GTGCCTTGCCGGCCTTTTAAGAATTGGTACGCTCTTTTCTTGAAGGACCCTAAGTCGAATTGGTTCGGAAATACTTCAGTGGGCAGCTGATTCCACATAGTGGTGGTGCGCGGCAAAAACTGCCTTGAAAAACGCTCAGTTGTGGAACGGCGGACGTCGAGGTGATACGGGTGGAATTTCGTATTCTCTCTCGACGTCCGATGATGAAACTCAGCTGCAGGTATTAATCCGAACAACTCCTCTGAACACTCTCCATGGTAAATGCGGTAGAAGATGCAGAGTGACCCCACATCTCTACGCAACGCCAAAGGATCAAGCCGCTCGGAGAGGGATTGGTCGTCGACGATTCGAACCGCTCTGCGTTGTATACGGTCAAGTGGAAGGAGCTGGTACTGGGGAGCCCCCGCCCAGAGGTGAGAGCAGTACTCCATGTGGGGCCGAATTTGCGCTTTATATAGTTGCATGCGGTGGCCCGGAGTGAAGTACCGCCTCGCCTTGCTGAGCACACCAAGCTTTTTGGAGGCTAATTTAGCCTTTCCCTCCAAGTGACCGCGAAACTGAACATCGTTCGATATGTCAACGCCAAGTATTCCAATGCTGGCTGTGGCTTTAAGAAGAGTGTTTTCGAAAAGAGGAGTAGCGACAAAGGGTGATTTTTAGCGGAAAACGCGCAAACTTGTGTCTTCTTGGGGTTAAATTGGACTAGGTTTTGTCTGCCCCAGTCTGAGACTCCACGTAGTAGAGTTTCGACTTCAGACACAAGTTTGTTCCGGTACTCATCAACAACTGCCCGAGAAATACCTGCCCGGCCAGTGTAAAAAGTATCCCCAGTGCTGTCATCCGCATAGCAATGAATGTTGCTATGCGGATGCAACATATCATTGATATGCAAAAGAAATAGGGTCGGGATAGAACACAGCCTTGTGGGACACCAGCGTTCACAGGTTTAAGGTCGGAACATGCTCCGTCGATGACGACCTTGATGCTCCGATCGGCCAGAAAGCTGGAGATCCAATCGCATAATTTCTCGGGAAGCCCATAGGCTGGAAGCTTCGAGAGCAGTGCTCTGTGCCACACCCGATCGAAGGCTTTCGCTATGTCCAAACTTACCGCCAGCGCCTCCCCCTTGGACTCAATTGCCTCGCCCACCTATGGGTAAGGTATACAAGGAGGTCACCAGCTGAGCGACCACGACGAAAGCCGTACTGAGAATCGCTAATCAACTGGTGGCCCTCTAGATACCACAAGAGCTGGCAATTAATAATGGTTTCCATTATTTTGGAGAACAAAGGAGGTTATAGCTATTGGGCGATAGTTGGCCGGATCAGAGCGATCGCCTTTTTTAGGGATCGGATGTATCGAAGCGGTCTTCCAGCACTTCGGGACAGTGCCGAGCGAGTACAGGTACCGGAAAAGGCGCGTTAAGACCGGAGCCAACTCAGGAGCACAAGTACGCAGCACAATTGGGGGATACCATCCGGCCCGCTCGACTTATGAATGTCCAAGGAACATGCTTTGCGGACAGCACGTTGCCGGAATGTGATTTCCGGCATCGAAGAATCACACCGCGAAATGGTCGGTGGTGATCTTCCTTGGTCATCCAAAGTCGAGTAGGACGCGAAGAGACAGCCCAAAAGGTCGGCCTTCTCCTTCGCAGTGTGGGCCTGAGAGTCATCCTCCTGTGCAGTGGTGGAATGGCGGGCTGACAAAAATTCCCTTGGACAGCTTTGGCGAGAGACCAGAAGGCTCGAGTCCCTGAAGGGAGCTGGGCCAATCTCTCGCCAAATCTGGCAATGTGCTCTGACTTTGCCTTAGTGATTTCCCGTTTGAAGAACCTGGAGGCTGAGTTATATGCTGTTTTAAGTTCGCTGGTATTGGCATCACGAGATTTCGCCGCTTCCGTCCATGCCTTAAAGCATTCTCGCTTTCGACGCGAGGCCGCCTTGCAAGAACGTTTAAACCAGGGCTGAGACTTGCCACCGATCGGCACCGCAGAAAATGGAATAAAAAGTTCCATGCCCTGCAGAACCACTTCGGCGACAGAGGCGGCGACGGAATCTGGAGCTTCCGGCGAAAAGCACATAGGCCCCCAAGGGTAGGACGCAAAGAAAGACCGCATCCCGTCCCAATCTGCTGACTTATAGTGCCAAATACGGCGACAACCCATAAAGCGGGGCCTTGAAGGGCGCGTAGATGGCACAGTACTCCGGACCACACAATGATCCGATGAACCCAATGGCGGGTCAACAGAGACTTTATAGTTCTCCGGATGTGAAGTCAGCAGAAGGTCCAACAAAGAGGGTTTATGACCATCCACATCTGGTATTCGCGTAATCGCAGGGACCATTTGTGTCAGGACGTAGGCTAAAGCAAAGTCGTGAAAGGATCTTCCCGCGTGATCGGTGGTTTCAGAACCGAGCCAATCGGCATGGTGGGCGTTAAAATCGCCAAGTATCACGATTTCAGCGGTAGGAACCCTTTCGAGCAGGGAATCTGTAGCCATTTGGATGTGCTCAATGAGTCGGTCAGTTTCGGTATTTCCGCTATGGGACCTATACAGGCATGCGTAGAATCGCGGATGGTCATCGCAGTCAACGCGCAGCCAGAGGTTAGATAGGTCCCTTCCTTCAAGCGTCCCCCTGAGGCGACGAGAACAGATATCCTCTCTGACGTACACGCAAACTCCCGCCCGCGGCACAAATGAATGTTCCAATTTGTACCCCGGGTAGGGAGAGGTAGGAAGTATCAGCCGGGGAGGAAATCTGAGTCTCGGTAAGAAAGAGCAAGGCCGGCTTCGCAGTCTCTAAATGGTAGTGGACTGCGTTGATATTGGAATTGAGCCCCTGACATTTGTGAAGTCCACGGCGAGCGTGGACGGGGGTGCCTTTGTTGAATTGCTCCGTTTGCCCCGAGAACGATAACTGTTTTTGTTGAGCGCAGAATTGCCCCCCCCCAGAATACGAAGGGCAGCCCTGTGCGTCCACCACCGGGTGCTGAGTGTCCCGGTGTTGGACGCTCAGAGGGGATTCTCCACCGCGAGCGCGTGTGGTACCCCCTGGGGTAGATTCTGCTTTGTTCTGCACTTTCATATGGGGGGGGATGGGCTCGAGTCTCCCTCACCGTACGAAACGCGAGTACAATAAGGCGAACCTATTGCCTCACTTCACGCCGGTTTTCTAAGAGACAGTGGTACTGCCCCGGTCGTGCCTGCCCATTTGGCTGAAGCCCGAAGGCAACAGCATGGCACTCCCACTAGGAAGGGGTTGACTGATTGCGCTGATGAAATAACCTCTGTCACAGGTTATTTCACCAGTGGGCGATGGGGTCGTCACGTCCCGACGCCGAAAAAGGTATAGGATTTTAAACTGATATAAACAACGAATATTCAAATTGATAGGGCAATCTTTTTTATTTTTATGTAGAACTGTTCACGACATATTTTATTGTTTAAAGATAATCCCTTTCAAATGTTGGCCGCAACTGCGCTTAGATTCGTTCATCCGTAAACACCAATTTTGAGTAACTTCGGTCGGTATCTCGCTAATAACTTCAGTTACATTGGCTTTCAATGCCTCAATAGTAGCTGGTTTATCCACAAAACATTTAGACTTTACATACCCCCACAAATAAAAGTCCAAAGGTCTGATATCACACGATCTTGGAGGCCAATCTACCGGTCCGAGACGAGAGATAAATTGCTCAACGACTACGCAGTAAATCCTTTGTTTCACTGGCTGTTAGCTGTATGCCATGTAGCGCCGTCTTGTTGGAACCAAATGTCGTGGTGATTATGGGCTTCAATTTCCGGCATCAAAAAGTCGTTTTTCATGGCGCCAATGTAACAGTGAATTGGCGCCAGCCTCGTCTTTGAAGAAATATGGGCCAACGATTCCTCCAGCCAATAAGCCGCACCAAACGGTTTTTTTTAATGGATGTAATGGCAGTTGTTGAAAGGCTTCGGGATGCTCTTCACCCAAAATACTTCAATTTTGCTTATTTACGTAGCCTTTAACCCAAAAATGGGCCTCATCGCTGAACTAAATTCGGATCTTCGGCGAGTTTTCCAAGAGCCCAACGACTGAAATTATAACGCTTTGGAAGACCAGCCGGCTTCAATTCTTGGACCTCGAAAGCGTATAAAATACATGCAAGCATATAAATATAGTTTGCATCTTAAAACTAGGTTATAACGTTTTTTTAAGTTGATACTTTCGCTGACATGGTACCTACCTACTAATGTAAGTTTTATAATAAATGTTTGGAAATCTGGAATCTATGTAGAAGCTCTTGTCAACACATACATATCAAAGATATTTATAGGTTGAAGGTGAAGGATCTAAACTAAATAGTACATTTGTTTAAATATACACCTAAACTTAAGGTGAACATGTTTTTCAGTCCTCTATTTTCTTTGAAGTTTGAACATTACATAGGAACATTTTATTGTATAAATGATTTACGACCACCAATGAAAGAATAACATGATGTGTAAATAAGCTGTTTCATTCATACACTTAAATCATTAAATGGTAAAGCCGAGTCACAATAAGAGCTAGGTCACGTGGTAACACTGGTCAGCTGTCGATCATTCGCTATCTCACACGCTGTATACCAATAGGTGTCCACTTTTGCTTTTTACATGGGCTCTATGCTTTAAGCCTTTAATTGTGTGCGTAACGTAAATTAGGTTGTAAACATATTTCTTACTAATTTAAATTGAATTAGCTTCGTGGTCACTCGGTCCTTAATAACTAGTTTTCCTAAGTTTTATCCCAAGCAATGTGTTCTGAATTATTATCGGTTGAAGAAGTATATGACGAAATTGCTTAGTCTGTACTCAATGCGTGCTTTTCATTATTTTATGTAGCTCTCGGTACATAATCTGTGCTTGTACTCATAAGTCATATGTCTGTCATGTGTCAGAGCTTAAAAGAAATGTTTTATTTGTTAAATTAAGTTTAATAATATTTTTGTTTAATAATCTTAATTCCTTTAATTCAATGAAACGAAATAGAAACGATGCCGTTAAAGCCGTTGTTACTTCCTACTTAGAACGCAGAAACTACCCAGTAAGAAATTATTTTATTTGAAATAATATACTTTAATGCTTTCCTTAAAGCTTTAACCATAACTAATCTATAAGTTCTTAATTTCTGTTTAAGGATATTGATGTATTTAATACCAACAACTCTATAAGCCAAAGTGCGGAGGAAATGGCGGTAGCTACTATTGTACAGTGTGAATCCAGTCGTGCCAATTCTGTTTTGTTTTCTTGTATTAATAATGACCCTGCCCAGTATGATATTCAATATACAAGGTAAGTTCTTTTTACTGATACTACTAATATTACAATTTAATAAGAACAAAATTAAATCCTTGAAAATCACTGTTCCTTTAGGTTAACATTTACAATTACTTATTTTACAGACTGTTTAATTTTATAAAAGAACTTAAAATAGAGCAAGTAAGAAGTGAACTACTGGGCTTATTAACACCACTTCTTTGTCACTTGTACTTGGAAATGTTAAGAGGTGGTCATAGTGGACCTGCACAAATGTTTTTGAAGCGACATTCAGCATCACTTCCTCAGAAAGATTTATCTTACCACCAGCCAATTGATGGTAATCTACCTTCAGCTCTCTATAGGCCCAACAGCTTAGAACAGCTATTTAATTCTATACAAAATGGTACTATTGATAATGAAACACCTGAGAAAGATTACATGAATCAACTGCTTGATGACATTGGGTCAGTTTATAGTCTTCAGGAGATAGAATCAAGACCAACTATTGCAGCATTTAGGTAAGCTTCTATAATTTTTATATGGGAATTCTGATAATGTTATTTGTGACAGCTTATGTGTAGAAAGTTGCATTTTTCTTAAAAGATATTTAGTCTCTTTTAACCCATAAATTTATCATCTTAATATGACTAAACCCGAGTTTGCCATATTTTACAAAATTTAAGTTGTAAAATTCTGATAAATATTAAGAAAAATTTTGATTTTCAGGTCTTGTAAATTTGACATTTGTTTGTCCCAAGATTCCCTGAACATGCTTAAGGCGTATTTAGCAAAACATGGTCATGTTTTAATGATACAGGTGTTACAGACTTGGTTTCACATAGATGTTAATGGAGAAAATTGTAAAAGTAATACTGTAAGTATATATATAACTAAGATGGTTTAAAGATGTAGTCTTTATGTGAATAACATAACTTAGCTTTTAATTAAATAATTGCAAAGGAAGGAATAATAACAGAACAATATATAGTGGTATTAATCATACACATAATAGACATTAATGTGCCAGTGCATTTACATTGTTTCAGACGCATGTTTATGAAAAAGGGAGCTAATCTTTAACAAATTAAATAAATATGTTTGCTTTAACAATTTCATGGAAATATGCTAAAAATAATATTTTGAGAGAAATAAGAAAATATGTTGCATGCATATAAGAAATAGTTTTAAGTATAAGCTGTACTTGATTTTAAAAAATTACTTTAATATTTATAAATTTACATCAACATCCATTGCATTTGATTTTATTATGTTTTATGATACATTACCTTGATTTAGATATCACACAAGTTAATTCTGAAGTGTATACTTTTTATTGTAGCACATATTATATTAATATTCCTAATGCCACATTTTATATTATTATTCCAAGTGCATTTTTTTTTTCAGGAAGATGAAGAAGAGGATTCAAAAGATAAAATCAAACTTGAACTCAATATAAGTGAAAATATAAGTGGTAAGAAAATATCATCTTTAAAATTTTACTTTCTTTTGAATATCCAATATCATAGAGAATATTAAATAAATGTCGTAATAAAATAAAATACCTTATTACATTTTTTAGGTGTGTTTTCTAAATGTAACGGACATGCTGAATATGCAGTAGATAAAGAACTAAGGGATCTTCAAGATGCAATAAAGGGAGTAAGGGAATCTCTGGCACCATTGAAATTGTATAAAATAGCAGCCCCTGATACTGAGTAAGTGTTTAATATGAATTCATATTATACATTTATCATTTGTAATATATACTCTCCGATCGAAGAATTTACCTTTTAATGATCGCTAAAACTACCATTTAATAGTAAATTTTTATGTTTGACCATATTATTGTATGAAATTATCTGTTTAAAAGTCTTAAATGCATCTGTTCATATCTGTTCAAAATCTATAATAGCATGTAAATCTTGTTATTTTAATAAGCTTAAGTTAAGTGAAGGGGCACTATCACAATGATACTAACAATAATGAATTGTTTTCAATGAAGATTGGTAAATGTTTATTTTTTCATTTACAGATTAATATGTGCAAAAACTGATCAATACTGTAATGTTTTATGCGGAGGATTTAGTAACTCGGAAATAAGATTGTGGGACCTCGGTCAGAATAATATTAATCGACGCATTAATAGAAATATATCAGAAATAGAGCTGGCGTGTAGCGTACCACCAGATCCAGAAATAAATGATAATACAAGGTATTACAAAAATGATAAGCCAGAAAATTTATAATTTAAAAAATACTGCGTGTTCACTTTGTTTGATTCTTGGAAAAAACTTCTAAGTTCTATTTAAATTTTTCGTTTTCCTCTTTAAATTGGTCAACTTTTAAAATGGAAGACATTTTCTCCTTATTTCCTCGCGTATTTTTACCGTACAGTAAGACTCGTATGTCAAAAACGTATTTGATTTTGATGTGTGTCATAGTTCTGGCTAAGTCTCTACTTAGTACGAGATCCCGCTGCAGGATTGGTGTGCTCATCGACTTTTTGTTTAAAACCAAATTTTTATGTTTATTTATAATTAAGAGAATATATATTTACTAGGGTGCCTATCAAAATTTGGCCGCCATTATTTTTAATTAAGTTATTTTATTTTGATTTTTGGTAAAAAATTTCGTTTATTTATTTTTTAAATAAAATAACGGCTACATCACGGTAATTAATATGAAGATTCTAAAAAATCACGGTTGTCGTTGTTTCGTCGTATAAAAAAATATAAATATCATGACCTTTTATTTACAATTGACTCTACTAATGATTTTGGATATCATCGAAATCATACCTGTTTACACCTGGCTGCAAAGAGGTGCGGCCAGGTGCGCAACGGCAACCGTGATTTTTTAGAATCTTCATATTAATTACCGTGATGTAGACGTTATTTTATTAAAAAAATAAATAAACGAAATTTTTTACCAAAAATCAATTAAAAATAATGGCGGCCAAATTTTGATAGGCACCCTAGTAAATATATATTCTCTTAATTATAAATAAACATAAAAATTTGGTTATAAACAAAAAGTCGATGAGCACACCAATCCTGCAGCAGGATCTTAGACTAACTCTTACTCTTACCCTTTGAATGCCAAACTTAACAAGTTTGATTGATAAATTTGATATCTTTTAAATATTCATGTAAATAATATAAATAAGTTGTATTTTGTTTTCTAGGCAAATAGGTACAGGCATTCCCTTACGAGGTCATTCGGGCCCTGTACAAGCAGTCAGCATTTTGTCCAGAGAGGAATTAGTTCTTTCTGCCTCACATGACAGTACAATGAGGGCATGGCGAATATCGGACTATTCTTGTGCATCTGTTTATAGGTATATTGTCTTTGGTTAGTCGCGCTTATTAATGCGACATCGGTACCATTTTTAGGGCGAAACTGTTTTAAGAAAGACCCTGAAGCGTAAATTTCGCCAAAATGTAGTTTGTAATTTAAAGAAGCGGCTCAGTCAAATCCTATTTAGATAAGGTGTAAATTTTCTTTTAAGTATTGATTCATGAATTTGATTTCTTATTGATACAATTCGTTTAGTATGAGCAATCACAATCGAGTGAATCCCCCTAGATTTCTTGCATTTGAGTTTATCATTAAATAACTTAATATGTTTTTTTGTGTATGTTAATTTTTATTATATTTGTGTCTTAAAAAATAAAAATAATGTAATTTTATAGAAATAAAATTTAATCAATTATATTTCAGGGGTCATAATTATCCAATATGGTGTATGGATGTATCTAAAAATGGCTTATTTATAGTAACTGGGTCACACGACAGGACAGCTAAGTTGTGGTCACTTGATAGAACATTCCCTGTAAGAATATTTGTAGGACACATGTCTGACGTCACGGTAAGAAATTGTCTATTCTAATTGTAGATTTATAGTAAGTACAGTATGTTTGTTTGCATTAAAGTACGCTGGAATTTAAATTTTAATTTGTAGTGCGTAAAATTCCACCCCAACGAGGCGTACGTAGCGACGGGAAGTGCGGACCGATCCGTGCGTCTCTGGGCAGTGTGCGACGCAAGACTAGTTCGCGTACTTTGCTCGCACCGTGGGGCCGTAAGAGCGCTTGCATTTTCGCCAAGTGGGACGCATCTCGCCTCTGCAGGTATGAAAAATAAAGGCTAGCCTTTACTTAGGAGATATTGCCCAAACGTAGGAGCATTGTCTAATATCTCTAGCCTAATGGAACAAATGTCCGACACAAGACCTAGACAGGTTTATATCCAGGTTAAATATTGTTAAATAAGGGCAAGAAAAGTCGATATAGTCTCTTTTTTAGTAAAACCAGGAATTAACTCGAAACACTTGATTTGAACTTAGCACGCTACCTACCCTCTAGAGTCTAGAGCAATAAGTCAAATGTATTCAATTTCTACCCCTGTTATAAGGATCTTTTTGTTACTGTGGCATTCAAAATCGCAGTATGTTTAACCTTACTAACGTGCGTTGCCTCTAATTGGACTCATACATATCTAAACTATAACTATTAGTTTCCCTAATAACCTTTAAGAAATCCACCAAAACATTTATCTGAATTTTTATTTTGTTTAGGCGATGACAAGAAAATTAAAGTATGGGATTTGGCTGCATGCTCATGTGTACATGAATACAGGGGCCATTATGGAAAAGTGACCTCCATAGATTGGTCTGCTGTAGGAAAGCCAACTTTAACAAACAGAGTTTCTTCAGACCTAAGTGAAATGACCACAGATAACTCTATCCTATGTTCGGCTGGAATGGATGGTATTGTGAAAGTTGTTTGGGATAGTCAATTGAAAAACAAGTAAGTTAAAAAAAACACATCATATCTTATTTTGATTTATTCCACACATTTGGCTCAAAGGTTCTCAAAGGCTCTATATCTGGTGATTTTGGTTCAAAGGTTGCCTATTATGAAAAGTCAGTTACCTCTAAATTTTAAATGCAATATAAATTGTTAGTGCATAGTATTAAATTATACCTAATAAAAAATGTTTTTTTTTTAAGATTCTGTTCTCAAATATTCTCATTGATTTTGGCACAATATTTCTTTTGTTTCAGACAACTATCTAGTCCAGACAATTCAACATCAACTTATAATACTAAATGTAATTATTTAGTAGATATACAGGTACATCCTGATTGGATGGTTGCTATAGGTACTAAGAAATGAAATACACAAATATACATTTTTATATTAATTTGTTTTATTTATAGAAAGTAACAATGATTTCAACATGTTTACTTCTAAACCTTTCATATAAGGATTTTTATCTTAGAATGATTTATCCATTTACTTGGGTATTTAAAGTTCCCATAATAAATACAAGTAGTTAAAGTAATAGCTTTGCTTAATACGGTGCTGCCAAAAATGGTGTAAACAAAATTATATTATTTCCTGTAAACATTACTAGATGAAATTGAATACTTTTTCCTATGTACTTGATTTTTTTAGTCATCCTGATGTATAAAGGTGTGTTTCATACAGTTACACTTAAGCTTCTGAAAAACATTCAAATAATTATATAGGGTAGTTGAAAGAAATAAAACCTTTTTGTTACAAATTAAGACATTTCCTATTCCATAATTATCCTAATTCAAAGTAATCCGAGTTGCAGCCTGTAATTTATAGGTATTTAAGGTGCTTTTTACAAATGTGAATTGTAACAAATATAATTCCATGATTATTTTTAAATAACAATATCACTTTTTTTTGAAAAAATTCATTAATGTAGCTTGTTTTCCCTTTTGAGGTGGGGAAACTTTTTTCTTCTTTGGTGAATTCTTCACTTCCTTGGGTTTTCTTTTTGGAGAAATTTGTAATTTCTCTTCTTTAATTTCTTTTTTTATTGACACCTCTTTGTCCACACTTTCAGAATCAGAACAGCTTTCATACACCTCTTCTCTTTTAGTAATTATGTAACCATCATCACTCATATATGTTTTATCTACAACCTTTCTCTTCTTTCTAGGATTCACAATTCCCGATGTTATTTTTAAATTATTTGCAACTGGAGTTGGTGGAATTTCTTCATCAGATTCATTAGCAATTTCCTTGTTTTCCTCAGCAACAAAAGGATCATTCTCTTCTTCACTATCACTGTCAGAAACCCGCAAAACCCTTTTGCGTTTTTTATCTACTTTTGAATGTTTTTTAATATTATTTAATATTTTATTATCATTCATCATATTTTCCTTTCTTGCTTCCTTTTTAACTTCTGTTTCTTCTTGATTATCAACATCCATTATATCATTTAAAGCATTCTGTTCTGGTTTAGAAACATCTGCTGCTTTTTGGCTAGTAGCCTTTAAATCTACTGTAATCTTATTTTCTTTTTTGTTGCCAATTCCATTTTGTTTATTGAAAAATCCCGCAATTCCCTTGTGAGAACTAGGTTTGTTATTGGGTTTAAAATCCTTTTTAGGGGAAATAATTTCTTTCTTGATATCTATATCAGGTTCAGATTTAAGGGCTTTACCATTGATTTCGTGTACATTCTTCAAAGGTTTCAATTTATCTTCTTGTTTAGCCTTTTTTGGTTGTGGATCTACCTGATTTACAATCTTTTTCTGACTGCTACTTTTAAGAATACCAATTTCTACATCAGATCTCTTGATACTGGCCTGACTTTTAATAATGCCTGGACATAAGTTAAAATCATCATATTTAATTACGCTTACCAATGCTGCCGAATTTTCCTTTGGCCGTCCTTTGGAAATACTATATATGTGAATGAAATAGACAGTTTTAAACGTTTTCTTATGTTCTTCCAACTTATCTTCAGAGCAAACGGTTACCCTGACTTTATTTTCGTCAATTAAACCAGATATCAAAAAGTTTATGTTAAGTTCTAGTTTAGGATTCCCTTTACGAGTAGATTTAATAAAACTATGCATCAATAGTTTACTATTGTTAATGTGTATACAAAGATCTTTTGCCAATGTTAAATAAGTAACCAATTTTCCTTCATCTAAGATCATGTCCTTTAAAAGGTTCATATGTGTATCATCCATCTCCATTATGCAGAAAGCTGGTACTTCCTACGTGATGAAAACAATTTAAATAAATATTAATGGTTGCTATGAAATATGCTATGCATATAACCGCAATGTGTAAAACATCTGTTCAGTGTTCACTTTTAAAAAATTATTAAATTAAAAATGTTTGACTTCATGAAATTTCAAATTTTACATACTAATTACTAACATTGACGCAAATGAGAGCCATAAGTGGTGTTTTCCCCTAGACGCTAGTATACAATTTGTAATATAGTCTATGGCTTCATTGCAGAATATGCACCAAAGACGAGAACTAAGTTATATAAATTTAATAAAATTCCTTAGTTATGTAATCTAACATTAGTTAAGTTAAATATATTTAATTTAGTTCATAATTAGAAGCGCAAACAAAATATTTGCAATCATCGCACACTTGAAGCCAAAATGAGCCCTTTAGTTTTTCACACACTCAGAAATTCTAATACATATTACATTCTCGTTTCCGATAATGTCCAATTGGACGACTCCACTTATATTGAAATTTGAAGATTCACTTAAATTTAAAAACCCTTAGATAAACCAAGTTAGTTTCTTTTTAGCGTTGCAGCCCCACTACCCCTAATATTATGTTAGTCATAAGCTTAGATCTTAAACGATTAAAGCCCGTCGACACTTAGCTTCATAGAGTTTCTTTTAACATTTATTATATTATAAGTATAAAATGACTTGTTGTTTCTTAGAATTTTTAACTAAACCACCACCTTAAAAGGAGACATATATAGACAAGCCAAGCTATTGCACAAAAAAGCATAATCTGACATGCTAAATTGTTGAAATTATATATGATATACATATTTTTACAATTTAATCTAACAGCGAATAAAAATCAAAATATTATTTATTCTTATTGGTATAAAGGCAGAAATTGATTAATACACGGCCGTATATATACAACAATTCAAGTCCGACCAGACAGACAAGACCGACTAAATTTCTATGAAAATTTGCCGACAAGAACTGTCATTTTCATACAAGTTTAGTTTTCGACTTTCCACATACACTACTGTTAAGGCATCATGACTAAGCCCCCAGTCACCATAACTATATATCATCCGTTCACGAGCACGACGCATGGCCATTGGCCCCCGCGCCATATTGTAGAGAGAGTGACAACCCAACGCATTGATGGCACTACAATATTATAGTAATGGAGACTTTGATTATCACTTTTCTAAGAATAATAACTAAAGTATAGAGATCGTGTAGAAAAAAAATCTATTGTCTGTAAAGTCGGTTTACTGACGATAGTTGAACGTGACAACGTCATAAGAAAATACTGATGGAATGGTTGCATTTTTTCAAAAGAAAATTTTAATTTTATTTGATAGATATTTTGTATGGTTATAGAGAAGGAGGTAAATGGAAATCACAATTGAATTGATCGATTACAATATAATCGATATAATGCGATATATACATACACTAAAGATGTCGAACGCTGCCGAACGCGGAGGCCGATTGTGCCTCTTGTCGCTCGTTCCGCGCTCTCGCTTGCACTTCAAGCCTTAAATGGAACGCCTCAGAGCGAGGTAACCCCGCATGCGTTATGTTTTTTCGTGCCTACAGCGGACAGCCGGCTTCATCGAATTATAAGACGTCGCCACGTCAATAAGAGCGGACTCCTAAGTCCTAGCTAAAAGCTAGCTCTAAACATTATATGACTTTTGTATACGGTAAATGTTGTAAACTCATTTATCAAATTTGGATGCTTGTTGCTTTTAAGCCTTTCAAATACCAGATATACAGGAAACGTTAAGAATGTTTGCTTCAACCTTAAAAAGTTGATTTTATAATTTTTTAGGTGAATTCAATAAGACAATATGCAAAACAATTATCATTCATCGATAAGTTTATTTAATTGCTGAATTCACTAAAATAATTTAAAAATTATATTATATTTTATGTTTGATGTCAATTGTGTTCCTGATTATAGTAAAAATAAAATAAATTTTCAGGATATTGTAATGTCATGAAAACTTGTGAATCCTGCTCAATCTTGTAAAAATATATGCACTGCAATACACTAATAACAAATAAATTAAATCATGCGTTGAGTTATCAAAGATTTTCATACAAAATTTATAATAAAGAAATAATATGAGTACACTTTTAGCCAAATTGTCGAAACTAAGAATAATATAGTAACAAATACGTTATAGCTACACTAGGTTAAAATATATTATGGCAATTCTTCAATGAACATGAACTTATAATAAGTTTTTGTTATATATCTATAAGAGTGTTAAACTCTAAATATTACTTTTCCAGTGCGCTCTATAGATCTTGCCCTAAGAAGTAAGACCTAAGTCAACGAATTTATTTGACATGGATTCGACGATTGAATATATTATAATTGACAGATGACTCATCAGTCATCAGTCCTGACAGTAATACTAGATCTAAGAGTAAGTTTGAAGTTAGATTCTAATTAAATCCTTGTTATTTTTTGGGAAAACTTAATAAGCTTTTCCTTTTGTATTGTTGTTAAATTTCACTAACTTATGTCCATAATTCTTTTCGATATATAAGGTAAATACTTAAATATTTATGATACTTATCATAAATATTTGACATTGTAATCTATACGTTGCCCTACCATTTGGATTGGTTTTGTCGTAAGTACTTGTACCTACTGAAATCTATTTTTGTTTGTATTACCTAATTTTTAGTTGTGTGATTGAGAAGGATTATATTGTAAATTTTCTTTTTAGCAGATAGATTAAAGAACATCAGCAATTACTTTTATTTGATATCTTTCTTATTTTTGATCAAAATGCCTGGGTAAGCAACATGTTATGTATGTGGGAGTGGTCCCACATTCATTTACTCATTTAACCACCATAACAATCAATAGTTTAACGTCTGATTAATTTATACATTATTCATATATGTATTTAATTCATTATAATGTACATCATCTATGTCAAGTTACAATAGTTCCTTATGAAATAAAGATCAGATGTTTCTCCTCCATCAATGACCTTCACTTAGCAATTCATCCTAATTCTGTCATAGCTTAATTTACTCTTCATGTTTAATACAGCTTTGTAAAAATTAATAAAATGCAAATATATATTAAATATATGGTAATTATAAAAATTATTTAAAAAAAATGTAATACTAAGTTTGAAATGTTTCATTAATTTGTTGTTGTCTTAAATGAACTGGAATTTGGTTTATGAATCATATTTCATATTATTGCAATATTTTCCTGTATAATATATTTTGTGATATGTATTAATCAAGTGTGAATTTGTTTTTTAGAATAGGAAAAATGTCTCTTGATAACATGTTTTGCACAAGATGTGGTGATGGGTTTGAGACTAATGAAAAAATTGTCAATTCCAATGGTGAACTGTGGCATACAAACTGTTTTGTGTAAGTATTTAAAAAAAAGGTTCAATGACAATATGTTTAAGAAGATTTTTTAATTAACTTAATTTGAATTTACATAATGTTACATATAGTTAAAAATAAATATAATTTAAATAAATTTTTAGTTGTGCTCAATGTTTTCGAGTTTTTCCTGATGGAGTATATTATGATTTTGAAGGCCGAAAGTACTGTGAACGAGACTTTCAAGTGTTATTCGCACCATGCTGTGGCAAATGTCGTAAGTTTTTTATTTATCATTTTTGACTATTTAAAATATATTACAGTAAATAGTATCAGCTCCAATGAAAAAATTTATTAATTTTATAATAGGGAGCGTTCAAGTATTACGTCACGCAATTTTTGGAGATTATTGACCCCCCATGTAACGCGCTGTCACGCTTTTCTGTACCCAATAGTAAAACGTTTCGTGACCCATACCTTAAAGTTACAATTATGTGGTGTAAAGTACTGAAAAGTCAAAAAAATATTAACAATAACGCGAATAAATTCAATCCCCGCCCCGCATCGTAACGTTTTACAAAAGGACCCCCCCCCACCTCCCAAAATTCGTTACGTAATACTTGAACGCTCTCATAGATATTATAGCAATTTTGTGTATTATTATTATTACAAATGATCTCTTACAATAAATAATACTAAAATCCTTACTAGAAACATGAAACAATATTACCGAACAAGTTATTTAAATGACATATTTCAGGTGAATTTGTTATTGGTCGTGTGATAAAGGCTATGAATGCTAACTGGCATCCAGCATGTTTCCGCTGTGAGGAGTGCAACATGGAATTGGCTGATGCTGGCTTTATCAAGAATGCTGGTCGTGCTCTTTGCCATGGTTGTAACACACGTATAAAAGCTGATGGATTACAAAATTATATGTGCCATAAATGCCAGTAAGTATTGCTTGATAGTTTTAAAATGGATTTAATAGAAACCAAGGTGGATAATAACAAAGAACTTAAGGAAAATATGTGTAAAAAATTTAAAATTAAGACAAATATGTGTAAAAAATTTAAAATTAAGACAAACATGTCTTAATTTTAAATTATATTTAGCATTAAAATTATTCTTTCTAGTGGTGTGATAGATGGTGAGCCTCTGCGTTACCGTGGCGAAGTGTATCATGGTTATCACTTCACTTGCGCTACTTGTGGAGTGGAGCTGGATCATACTGCGCGCGAGGTCAAGAACCGGCCTGGGTACGCCGCTAATGATGTGGTAAGTTGTATTGGGGCATTAGATAAGTAGGTCAAGAACCATTCAGGTCTAACTTCTGCAATTATGAATCCATAAATGCTAGAATTGGTTGTGTTCCATAAATCACTATGGCCACCTCATTTGTGGCTCAAAATCTAATTAAATATATCAGTAGGGCTATAGCGATAATATATGATTAACTTTTTGACCGCTGGCAAATTCAAAACTGGCAGCGGAAGCGCTAAGTTGGCATCAATATCGGTGTAATCGCTACCAAAAGGTTTGCTTCGATCTTGTGTCACATGGTCTTCAGGTTGTAGGAAAAGCAGAAAAATCCAATTATAAGAGTAAAAACCAGTTGAGTTTTGAGTCTCAATGTATCTCCGGTTCATATCATTAATTTTCCAACAGTGTATTTTTAAACTTGACCATCAGTCCACAGCCACAGTAATTCTTAAATAAATTCCTCAGAACAATCTATTTTGCCTACGTTGTCACGACAAAATGGGCATTCCGATTTGTGGCGCATGTCGTCGACCCATAGAAGAGAGGATTGTCACCGCTTTGGGCAAACATTGGCATGTTGAGGTAAGACGAGAAAAATATTTTTCTATAACATGTGGGGTAAAAATTAGTTGCATTAAAATATGTAGCACTAAGAAAATGTTATGTTGCGTAAATATGTATATAAAATAATTAATGAATTTTAAGTCTCAAATTTTTTTATAAATTTAACATTGTATTTGCGTACACAAGTGTTATAATCATAAAAAGGTTTCGTTTTCCTTCCTATATTATTGTTTTTATACTAATCACTATTGGCAGAAAACTTAAAATTTTCGTAGTGGCGTTTTTATTGAATTGCACACAACAATCCCCAAGAAAGGACCTTAAACCAGCCTAAACAACAAAGAATAAAAAATCGTTATTTTTATTTTGTTTATTCATTGGAGACATAAACACCGGCACCAAAAAACTAATGAGGGGTTTAACCTGAAAAGCCATACCACAGAAAATATGCAATTATTTAAATAGGTTTCTTTGAATCTATTTGATTTTGCCTTACTATTTGTTATATTGTGTAGCACTTCGTGTGCGCTAAATGCGAAAAGCCATTCCACGGACATCGTCATTACGAAAAGAAAGGCCTGGCCTACTGCGAGCAGCATTACCACCAGCTGTTTGGCAACCTCTGCTACGTCTGCAACCAGGTCATCGCTGGAGACGGTTAGTAGCTTTTGATAAAAGTTATGAATTTACTTTTAGTATCTAAAGTGTTTTTGACATAAGAACCTGTATTTTTTAAAGGCGTCTTTGATAATTTTAGAAGAAACTAAAAAGTGCGTTTGAAAGATTGAAGTGATTTGCCAAACATCATTAAAACAGTCACACTTACGGCCTAGAAACCTGGGTTCTATTCCCGATGAAACAATATTGGTTTCGAGTTGGTAGGACAATAAAGCTGTATTAACAAAATCGGCTTAATTACTTTATGTTGCCATGTTTACCGTTACCTCTGAATAGACGACTCTAAGCTGACTGTACTATTCCTTTTTTCAGTATTCACTGCGCTAAACAAAGCATGGTGCGTACACCATTTCTCATGTTCCGTATGTGACACGGCCTTAAGCACGCGCAGTAAGTTCTACGAATATGACGAGCGTCCCGCCTGTCGCCGATGCTACGAACGATTTCCAGCCGAATTGAGGCGACGATTGCGACGCGCACATCATTACACACTGCGTAGGAACTAAGACAAAACACAGAGAAATCACAAACCTACCCGCCTTAAACAAAAACGATGCAACAGGCTTGTCACGTGACCAATTTCATACAAATTCGATTGAAGATAGTCAGGCCTGTCGCAAAGTATTTTTGTCTAAGGCCCCGTAATCCAAGACAAATTATCCACTCTCATCTGATGTATTTTTGAACTCGACATATATGCGCAAGTAACTTAAAAGGATTTTTGTGACTTGTACACTCTTACTTGAGAAATTAAAACACTTTGATAAAATTGGTTTGAAACATAGCTATTTTAATATCAAAGTTTCGACCTTGAATCTTGTTAGATACTCGCTAACCTGACAAATCGGTTAGCTAAATTTTTCCAAGGTTTTTACGTACTCTTTCTTATTTAATAAAATTTTAATATTTTTGGTTACAGTTAAAATTTTATAACACGGCAAAAATTCTATATACATATGTCTACCATGCCTTAAATTCTGCTATTTGTGTCGTGAAAATATAATGCAAAGGTGCCTTAATGACTGTTATGTTTTTAACTGTGCAAATTATTATTTAGTGCTATAGTATAGTGCAATTGAATTTTATAAAAATATGATTATTGTGTTCTTGGTGTCTCATGATGTACCCTTTCTTTCACAAATCAGATTTTCAGAAATCATGATCAGCGACAGATTGTCACATCAAGTTGACATAACTATTTGATTTTTGACGATGAATAGTTTTTTTATTAATTTATTACATGACCATAGTGCTTATAGTGCTTTTATACAAGTCCTTTAGTCAGCTATTAGATTACTCTATAGTAATGTTGCCATAATTAGGAGAAATTGCCATTTGCAATATTCTGCAGAACTTTTACAAAAAGTGCTAATAGTGCTTTGTTTTCCAGTATGAAGATATTCACAGTCATATTCATTGAAGAAGTTTTATTTAAAATGTAAGCAGTGTTTATAAAACATTTTTATATATAACACTGAGAATAATAAAATAAGGATTCTATGTTTAATTTTGACATATACAAATATACTAATAAATAATGTTTAAGACTGGGAAATCTCACCAGAGTATAATATAATAATTTATACTAAATAATTAATTGTGTAACTGTTCTTAGTTAAGTTTTATTATTTAATTCTCAATAAAAAAATATTTTTTATCTGTAACAGTAAATAAATAAACTTATAAAAACGTTACAAAAATATGCAATTAATATTACAAATAAATGTGCCTATTTACATGCGTAAGAAATAATTAATAGTATAGTTTTATTTTATATAAGATTTAATAAAGCTAACCTTTACTTTTGTTTTTATTTCTGCTTCATACCTCAGATATCAGACCTTGTATACAACATATCCTCCACAAGAAACAAACATTCAGTCAACTCAGCAGATTATTTCTCTTACAACTTATAAGATTATAACCCGATAAGTACGGGCCAATTCGCTTGATTATGGCTAAAGACATAGCCCTCTACGACGCTGTAGTATTAGCTGGTCTCTGCTTCTAACTATAGATACATAGGTCTTCCCCATGTTGATTGAAAATGATTTCCCATATGTTATAGCCCAGAGACGTATTGTGGTTAAGTAATTATAGCACTTAACCTTATAAATACGCATTCAATAACTTAAACTACTTTACTTGCTGTAAATTTAAATAAAACACTCAATGGACATAAATTTATTTTAATCATAACACTATTTTATAGAATAAGTTAACTATAATTCACAAATTAATAACATCTTGCACAAATTGGAACGTGACTTTGAAAATTGAAATAAAATTTGCGCTACTATGCACTATGACTTTCGTCACAATAATACTTTAAATTAATTATCTTTCTTCATCCTAGTACTGGTCATACGGTATATAATGGAGTCCCTTCCTGGATCCATGTCCATGATGGCGTACACAATAGCGATGAGGGTGAAAGCAAATACTACTCCAAACCACAAAATGATGTTGAAGATAGCTGCGTAATCTGCCGTGTAGTTGTCATCAGCCTGTCATGAAAATAAATTCGTAGATTAAAATGTTCTCACTTAGCTAACCCGTTATTCATAAAAAAATATTCCGACAATTGCACTCTTATAAAGTGCTCGTCTCTTTCTGCCAAATTGCGTTTATGTTGTGATTCAAAAGAGACAGATGAGACTTCGATTAAAATGGTGCAATTAGATTGAATTAGTTTTTATCACTAAGGGGCAAATGTCTCTTACTTCCACTATTACATCGTAATGAAATTTACTTATCAATTATAGACTACTATTAACAATTAAATAATCTAAATAGTATTTTTACACCATTATTACTTGATAGAAGTGAAGTTGACTAACATTAAATGATTTACTTATTAGAGCTAATATATAAATCTATCATCAGGTTGACATAACATTAGGCATTAATATCAATCTACAATAAACTATAATTTTATAAGTACTAATACTAATAGTATTTGACAGGCTCACATTGATACCATTACCACCACTTGGAGTACTAGCAGCGGTAGAAGGAGAGTCTTCTACCTGTCCATTTATACATAATATATAAAAATTAAGTTCTTTTTGAAATTTTCAACATCCAACAATTTATAATATTTAATTTTACAAGTTATATAAGTTCAAATTATTTAATTAGCATAATAATTGTTTTAAGAAAATAAACCCGAACACTAACCTTGAATATTTAAATTGATAAGTTCAAAAGTATAATAATTAGTTACAGATTGTTGATTAAATACTATACTGATACTGATAAATTTTGGTACAGATCACAATTTCTTAAACATGAGACATTTATAAGATTTTATAAATAATTTTTAATACATACAGGATTCATCTCACTGACGGGGGCATCATCGGGTGCTTCACGGACAGCACGGCGTGTATGAGCGATGTCTGTAGTGACAGCTGTCACTAGTACTTTTCCATCATAGGCCTTAACAAAAGCACTGCTCAGAGCCTGAATTGCCTCTCCTAAATAAATGATGGTCAACATAAATATTTCAAGTGGACTGGGAAAAAGCATAAAAATTAATTTACCATTACGGGGTGACAGAGTATGTTAATAATTTTTGTTTAGTGAAAGTTTTGAACCAATTTTTATTGGCTTTAGATTTATTTATCTTGTTTTTCTAAGAGCTTTTTCATTTAAATCTAATACTGGTGCAACTCAACCACAATGTAACTGTTCTTAAAAATTATGTTAACGACACAAATAATTTACCTAAGAGTTTTTTCGCTTCCTTGGTTTGCAAAGAGTTGGGTCCATGAAGGTCTGATAAAGCATGGAGTGACGTAAATCTAAAATTGTAGCAGTCTACAATATTATCAGCAGATATAGCACCAGAATTAATCTAAAAATAAACATAAAATACATTAACTACACAGTAAAGGCATTTTTTAAATTGATTTCATCAGCCAAGGTGCCTTTCCATGACAACAATATTGTCTAGTTTGTGCATTAAAGCTTATTTTAAAGTATATTGTATAATAATGTGTTAATTTACCTTATTAATAATAGCCTTTAATGTCTCCAACTCAAAGAGAAACTGGTAATCTTCTTCATAGCTATCATATTTCAAATGTTGCAGTAATTGTTTGCCAACTTTTGGGGGTGCAATGTCACCAAAAACTTTGGAGTAAGCAATCAACTGTAAACCAAACATTCTCATATCTTCTCTAATTTTAAATGTATTAAAAATTTTCATTTAATAACTATAATAAGGTAGATATTTATTTATAAGTGATATTAACATAAAAAATCATCAATGTGGCTTTGGTGCCAATGCAAGGCATAATGCAGAATTCTTTTTTCATTTGCATAACCTTCTCTTGAAATTTAGTTCAAAAATAAAAATATATTCTTATAACTTACATCATCAGGTTCAGACAGTCTAATATTTACTAGTTTGTTTCCGCCATTAGTGAAATGTTGCTTAATCCTGTGTGCAACAGAATCATATGTGTCAGGTTCATACTCATCGACAATAAGGGGGTATGTCTTAGCCTTTAGCCCTGCCTATAACAAATATCAAATTAATGTTAAAATACTTTTTTATTGATAAAATTTTTTATTCTTGCTCTGCAAACCTACAGCATTTCCAAGAGAAGAAACGCCATCAACATATACTTCAACTACAGCCTCAGGGGTATCAAAAGGATCTACAACAGATAGGCCATTCCAGTCAGAGTTCTGAAACAAATTTAAAAAAATATATTAACATCATAACTATAACTACTTTAAATAGTTACTTCCACATAATACTTTTATATACCTCTTCTACGGAAAGTCCAAGAGAAGCCGAAAATACTTCTTTGAGTAGGCTTTCCAATGTCTTTGAAGATCCAGAAAACCTCAAGGATTTGGGGCTGTGTAACACACTAAATTCTCCTCCAGCGTGGATACCTGAACATGTTAAGATATAATATGTATGTAAAAGAAAATAAAAATGGCAGAAGATACGTAAATTTTGAAATTATACTTACCAATTACGCTTAAAACTAGAGTTATCCAAAACAGAGCCATTGTTGAAAACGCTACACCCCCGAGATCACACAATATGACTGATTGTCATATGATTTCGATGTTACCATACTAAAATTTCGTTCAGAAATCCAATTATAATAAATTGTTATTTCTAAATTGTTGCTCGCTTTTTTGGTCATATAATCTTTATATCATAAAACCTTTATTATTAACAAATTTGTATTAAGCCGTTACGTTATTAAATAAAATTCATGTTCTAAAAGGTTTACTAAGGATTTATCAATTGTTGAACCGATTTTACGTCATGAATATAATATTGATTCATTATATTATGCTAGTACTTGTATATTAAATAGTGTTGTGCGCTGCCGTTAAACGCAGTATGGTCGATACTCGATTTATCTTTGCGATAAAATTCTGCTAGCTTCAAATATCGACCGCATTCTTGAATTTTTTCTAATAAAATCGTGTCTTGGATTTTATTACATTATTATATCAGAAAAATTTATGCATTAATCAACCTATAATACCGTACCAACAAAATATACCATTATATATATCGAACTGTCTATGATTCGTACTCACTGTTTACTGTTCGATTTTTGAACTTACTCGTAACATAATCAACTATTCGGTGTTTTTTCACAGGTGGTGACTGATGACCTTTATTTTTAATGGGAAATAAGAATTTTAAGCAGGAGTAAACAAAGCCATTTATTTCCAGTGAACTTTAGTTTCATAACTAGGAATTAAATTTTTATGGTGTAAATAACAAAAATTATAAATGTCGCATAGATCAAGTTTTCAACTTAACGATTTATTTCCCAGAGAAATAGATATCGAAGTGTGTTTAAAAACTCTTCGAATATATCAAAAATTGGAAGGTGATGTGAACTGTGTAGTTTGGGATGCGTCCTTAGTTCTAGCTAAATATCTTGAAACAATGTGTTTTCATAAACCAGATTTTCTTAGCGGTGTTAGGGTTCTTGAATTAGGCTCTGGGCTTGGTGTTGTGGGGCTGACAGCAGCTACTTTGGGGTAAATAAACCATCTATATGACATAAAAAGTAATTTGTATATATTTTTACTAACATTATATTAAATTTCTTTAACTAATATTTGTTTTAGGGCCCAAGTCACACTAACAGACTTACCTGAAGCTCTTCCTTTGCTAAGATTAAATATTGCTGAAAATAAATCAAAGATTGCTAGCATGGGTGGATATTCAATTGCCGAGTCACTTGTGTGGGGCGATAAAAATTCAGATATCCACAAACAGGATTTCGATATGATTTTGCTAGCAGACTGTATTTATTATGAAGATGTAATTTGCTTTATAAATATTTATAATACAACATTTTTCAAATAACTTGGAACTAATAATAATTTATTTTTACAGGCTGTTGATACCTTAATTGAAACTCTGAAAAGTTTGAATGACACTATTAATAAAAAACCAACCATTTATTTAACCCAAGAATTAAGGGATTCAGAAATTCAGAAAAAACTATGGAAATCCTTTTATGAAAAGTTAACAGAATATTTCTATATTGAAAAAGTACCTGAAGAGCAGCAACATATTAATTATAGAAGTTCTGATATAGTTTTATTAAAAATAACCAAAAAATGATATTTATATAGTTATGATGAATGGTGATGGACTGAATGAATTTATGTTGACCAAATTAAGGCTCTCTTTTAGAATAATTTATGAAGTGTAATTACTATTTGTTGAAACAGGTCTATATTAATCATGCATTGTTACACATAATTGGAATTTAGACATTTAACCAAATATATTCTATGAAAGTAGTAGTCTATTAAAAATTATAATTAAAATGTTAACTGTATAATTAAAATAAATGCATGAAGAAATAATAATATGTTTAAACTATAAGACAGCCAGTTATATTTTTTCTCTCAGTATTAAAAAAAATAATCATGTAAAACACACCTGAAATAGATATAAATCTGCTTCATATAGTCAATAACCAATAAAGAACAACTATTTAATATACATTTACGTTTGGCCATGCTCATAGTTATTACATATTAAAATGTTCATATTAGTTTCATACATTGTTTTTTCCTCAAACTTTCTTAAATTTATTAATAAAAAATAACATAGACTTGAAAACATTTCTGCATTTTATTGGTAATTTATTTTCAAAATACCAATTAAGAAATTGTGAATTAAATCTGAATCTAGAGTCGCGACTTAGCGCTCCGAATGACCCCTCCACCCCTCTCATATGTCAAAAACATTGTATTCTGCTATAAAATTTCTACGAGTCATACTACACGCTAAATATCGATTCTGAATCTCTTATCCTCAGAGATGTCATTCAGCTTAGGGCCACAAGCAAAATAAAAAATAAAGTATTACACTTGATACGTTTGTTCGACGCAAAAAGTCAGAATTAGGCGCGAAAAGCGCAACTCTAATCGGATGCCACGTTACAAGGGTTTTGGTTACCTTCTACGTAATAACAATAAATATATTGGTACATATTGATATAATCAGGTGGCACGGGCAACAGCTATGAGCTTTATTTTGTTATAAACAAGCGAGCTCTTAATATGAGGTATATTGGGTTTTTGTAGGATATTGAAAGCAAAATAATTTTGTTAATATGTAAAGAATATTTTATATTAAATATAACATACTAAGAATTAAACGTTAAAATCTCTTATGTATCTTAACAGCTGAACGGCACATGGTCGTGTAATATCTTCTTAATTAATGTTTTATTATAAGTAAATTGACTAGCTTTAGTTGAAGCCTTTTCCTTCCATTATTCCTTGTGCACAGTATTTTGGAAACTGCACCACAGAAAGCAAGAAATCGGTGAGACCCTGAAATAAAGACAGCTCTTAAATAACTCCAGAAGGTTTATCGTCTTCTACTGGATCAAAACACACAAACTCGTAGGTACCTAATAGTGTTTCGTAAGTAAAAAATATATTTAAAAATCCAATGTATATGCAGATAATATAGAACCAATTACAATTTCCCTACCCATATAAAAAAAACAGTGGCGCTAAAACCGCTTGGTCTTCGTCTCAAATGTCTGTATGTTTTTTTAATCGTTCTTTATCTTTAACGGCAAGGAATTGATCAGCCTGCCTGACACGGTCAATGTTGGGCCAAGACGTGCCGGTTTCCGCACAATGTAAAAACATTGTGCCTGAGAAAACTCAGAACAAGTGTTAGTGATCAAGCCAGTAGGCCAACACTGCTCTTACCTACCTAAAATACATTTTTCTAATTTTTATCATCACTACAAGTAACGAATGTTGCGAATTTTCATTATTTTATTTGTATTGCATGCAGTGTAGTCATGACGCTTAGACCACAAGCCCATGAACAAAAAATACCTGTGAAATGACCCAACGTGAATTACGCTTAGAAGGCTGTTACTATATCTGAAAATAGCTCTGAGCACTATGCCGTCATTTCTGAGCGGTACATGTGAGTACGTGAGTGAATGGACTTTCTCAGGTACAATTGGGGAATTTCGACTAATTATTAATGTACGGCTTTGTTACAAGTGTATAGATGATTAAAAATAAATGTCGAAAAACCTAGTGCCGTACTAAAGTGATGGTGCCGGAAGTCGGTGCAAATTTTTAATTCGACGACAGTTGCAGGAGCAATATAGGTCATTTATTACTGTACGGCATTTGTGTGATTCCTTTTGGACACATATACAGATACTTTACCCGTAAACGCCGTACATATTTCCAGCGGAGCGGTCGAAAGCCAAGGGTCGGAACACTACCCCTACACCCATATACCCTAAGGTCATTGTAAAATGTACGGCAACATGTTCAAAATATTATTTAACACGGACAATAATGTTTTATAATTATGCCGTCCAAAACTTATAGTTAATATTTGTGTAAATAAATATTTATCGAAATTTCAGGATTTACCAAGTTCTTACTGCTGTAAAATCAGAGAATAATGTACGGCAACTTGTTTTTTTACATAATGTTACTAAATATTACCGTTGTACCTTATAGCCGTTCATTATAAATGGTAACAAATAAAAATATTATGATAAAAAATATATGAAATTTCCGAAATTTAGATGACTTTTCAAATGCTCCTAGAGTAATATGGGGAGTAATATTTTCAAAGATTATTGTTATTTTATATGTAACAAATATAAATAAACAAAAAAAAACAGATGCCGTACATTTTACTCCAGATTATTCTTTACAGCTGATAAAAACGACTTCGACGACGTTTGAGGTGTCCCTTAAGGTCATTAATAACTGTACGTATCTGAGTATACTACCATAAGGCTGTAAAGTATATTTACAGCCTTATCGTACCAGCAGAGAGAGGTAAAGGAAAAATATTTTTAACAAAAATAAAAATATAATACAGGGCGTCCCAAAGTTATGGGACATGAAGGGAAAGTACCTTAAATATCGTAGATAGGGCATTTTACTAAAAGAAGACTTTATGTTATTTTTAAAAGTTAGTAATTCTGCATTCAAAGATTTTTAAAAAATTACTTGTCTCGTCTGGAAATCGAACCGGCTTAAATTAAAAAAAAACTCCCCTACTTTTATGATGCCAATCGAAAGAATGGCTAAAACCTAATAACTTTTCTAAAGTATCAGACTCGTAGGGGATTTTTTTAGGCCAAATACGATACATAATGTTATTAATTTAATTAAAAGATATATTCACGCTGTTCCTTTCTTTTAAAATACTATGTTACTTAAGAAGAGTTATTAGTTTTCCGTCATTCTTTCGATTGGCATCATAAAAGTAGGGGTGTTTTTTTTTACATTTAAGTCGGTTCGATTTCCAGACAAGGCAAGTAATTTTTTTTAAAATCTTTGGATGCAGAATTACTAACTTTTAAAAATAACATAAAGTCTTCTTTTAGTAAAATACCCTATCTACGATATTTAAGGTACTTTCCCTTCATTTCCCATAACTTTGGGACGCCCTGTATTGGTAGTCGGTGGTATAATCTGCCATTTCACAGACTAGCGGACTATCGAAAGTGTACGGCATTTATCTTTTATTAAAGATTGTCTAAAGTATTAATAACCTGTGTTATTGCCGTACAGATTAAAGTCACCGGAAAATGACTCTATTTCGAGGGAAGTAATTTACCCCATACACCTATGTGTTCCACAAAAAATGTACGGCATGCTGGAAAATGTTACCTATTTGTGAAGAACTCTCAAGATCATTTAATTTTATGTTGTTCTATATCATCATCACCTATATGCTAATCAGACAATCACTTATAACAAAGCCGTACATTAATAATTAGTCGAAATTCCCCAATTGTACCTGAGAAAGTCCATTCACTCACGTACTCACATGTACCGCTCAGAAATGACGGCATAGTGCTCAGAGCTGTTTTCAGATATAGTAACAGCCTTCTAAGCGTAATTCACGTTGGGTCATTTCACAGGTATTTTTTGTTCATGGGCTTGTGGTCTAGCTGTCTACTTTTGTCACTAATTGTGTGTTCGCCGTACATGTTGCACATTCTAGATATGTTTTAGTTAATTTAGGTAGTTTAATTACGGTTAATTTAAAATGATATGTAAATAAAATATTGTGTTAATATGTACCTTGTCGATAAATAAAATAATACTACAGCAGTCGGAATTTTACTTTGAATTGTTCTTAAAAATAATTGCTTACCGATAATGCGTCTATGCACACCGTGAAGGGAAGTACTAAAATGTATATTCCTGCTGCAATACCAGCAACCCAGAATCCTATAAATATTAGGATAATCAGCCAAATGATCGAAAATAATATGTTCCCCATTGCCTGTAAACAAAATACAATACTTTATATTATTATAACTAAGTAAGTAGGTATTCTATGTAATCAGCGTACTAGATTTTATAGTTTTACGACGTCATTAATAGGACAGTGGACTCTGACCAAAAACTACAAACGCTATCAAGTCATTGACACTAATAACATTTCAATTCCTAAAACACCTGTATTCTAAGTTCTATTCATTACTAAAGGTAGGTACATATAATATTCACGATAAAATATATAGTATTGAAGCGATTGCTAATTTTCTTGTGTGATCTTAAAAGGTGTAGGAAGCTATATAATTATCTAACACTTTAAGTACAATGGGGTCGCTTACTGTTAAGGCCCCGCTAATAAAGAGTAGGTTTATAGATTTCTACTGCGATGTAGACATTTGTATATAGAATTGCGTGACATCGTTTTAAAATGTAACTTTTCTGAACACAGCCTAAATATTTGCCTATTAATTCAACAATTTAAATAGCTACTATCAAGCTATTTTTGAGGGAATTTGTCATCTGCGTATTAATTAAGATAACAATACTAATATACTAGGTATATATAGAAAGAGGTTCGCTCCCCTCGTGACTTCTTTTAATTAACAACATATTTAATATTAAATAGCTAACTAGCTTTCTATATTGATAGTTTTATCTGTACTCAAAACAAAACTAACTAAACTTAACGAATGTCTCACATATAAAACAAAGTCTGACTGCACGGAATCACATGCAGTTTACACCAATAGAATGCAAGACTACAATATAATATTTAAAATGGAAGTTTTGTTTAAAAATTGGTCAAGATTTAGAGTCGATTAGTTGTACATATAACGATAATTGTTAGAAATGTACGAAAAATTCAAGCCGCTATTGATATTCGTTAGTTATTCAATAAGACAAATATGGTGGAAATAATGTTAATCTCGTACTTTTTTGTTATAATATATTATGTTCATACCTTTAATCAAGCAATTATTTTTTTAGACAAATTCAATAGGTCATTCTGGACAGTTGACTCTATAGTATTAATTAATTTAAGATTAAATGCTTTCTAAAAATATTTTCTGTCATAAAATAAAGTACCTACCAGTCTGATGTATTTAATTTGCCTACTATGTAAACCAGTTATTGTTGCGTCAGTTGGCATACACAATCATAATATATTCTTTCATTATTATACTAAAAGATTTTACATTGTTGTTTACTTGTTTTTTCACATAGTTTCACGCAAGGGCAATAAAACAATTGTATGAAACTAAAAGGCATATAGAAATGTCCTAAGTCCTTGCACTAAAAAAAGTTTTAGCCAATCGGAAATAATTATTGTTGAAAAAAGCCGCAGCGAAATATAAATCGACTAGATACTACTTTTACAAATGTTCGAATTACATAATTGATTAGGTAGGTACATCTTTAGGTAAAAATTAATCAACCGAAAATTTGATATTTTATTTCAAATATATGTCGAAAAAAAGATTACCACGAATTACCATATCTATTTGTAGTAGGTAAGCATTATTGAAAGATAATGATCCAATGGAATTGAGGAAATTACCGAAATATATAAACCGTCGAGGCATGTTTTCTAGACAAACATATTGAATTATTATATGTAAGTAAGTATTTAATTGGAACGTTTATTTTATGACTTCATTGTTATCGAGATATGCTATCTTTAAAAATGTGGTGAGGTTAAATTCTACCTATACATTGATATACACCTATTGTAAAGTGTACTGAGCAAGCGAATTGGATTGTTTACATATGTTCCAAATAAAAATAGTTAAATGGTCGTCGTTAATGATAATAAATTAATAATAAAATAAAAAAGTAATTAATATTAAATATGATTCCAATTTCCACCACGACCCAAATTATATTAGTGCGTATCACTACTGTGTAACAGTATATGACATCACGTTTACCTAAGATGGAATTTTGTTACTTAACCATAAACACAAACAGACAATAGCGAAGAGTGGTAAGAATAAATTTAAATTATTAGGTCAGCTACATAAAATTACGCCATTGTTTACAGCTTTTAATCTATACTTAGATTTTATTGCAAAAGTTCACTCTTACCGAATTAAAGATTACGTCGTCACACGATGAAAATAATACACTAAACTATTGCAAGCGCGTGCGTCGCGTTGCCCTTAGCTCTGAGTTATGTAGGTAACTAGTAACTATTAACGAGTAAAGTGAATTGCGCGATGCATAGGTTGCTACGTAGGTAGGTACCTTATTTACTACGATAGCGTTACATGAATAAGGAACGCCGGACGATTCAACATTACGGTATCATGGAAGCGACGAAGCAACCTCATTCTTGTACCTACGTCAAACTAGTTTTGAGATGCTGCGCTCTCACATTAAATCAACAAGTTGATATTGGTAGTATGACATTAGTAACAGTATAATGGGATGGATAGATCACATAATAGGTAGATTCTTTGATATCGCAGTAATAATGACATAAAAAGGGTAGGGCATAAGGTGCTTAAAATTATTATGTACTACACAGGAAAAGATACCTAATAGGAACATATTACGCGTCGAATTGATAACCTGCTCCTTCAGTTTTTTTTATCGGTTAAAAATCTGATTCTTAAAATATATAGTTGACAGCTCAGCTGAATGAATTTTTCTTTTAATTGTACAGTATAATCTTAAATTGAATTATGATATTACTTGTATATAATATAATAAATAGTACTGCAAGTAAGAAAAATATGTGTGTGCGTGAAGCATTACTTTATATAAATAAGTACAATCATGACACTTTATATTATTAATTTTTAACATAGAGAGATAAAATTTGTGTTGCGACTTGTGAGATTACGAAGAGTCAGTTAGTAACTATGTATCTACCTACCAAAAAAAAATACAATGTCGTTTTAAAAATAAAATGATATAATATCATCAACATTCCATAGAGTTCTAACAAATTAAACTTTAAATGGCAAATTCTGGTCTGGTTAGTTCGTACTTCGTAGTTTAGGAAATAAATTAGAAACTGCAGTTTTAGAGTTTTAGTCATACACGTAGTACGTACAACGTACAAGTAACAAGAGTAAAATACATTTCTTAATTCTTTTACTTATCTTGACAACTAGTGATGCCAATTTGGTGGTTTTCCCCCCCAAATTTAGGGAGAATGAAGATGTCTTGATGGTTTTTAGAAGGTACATTTATTTAGGGGGTACTTTATATAAACATAAGAAATATATTTATTTTTGAAGTTATACTTCTTTAGACGCATTATGAAAAATTGATAAGAGTGAAATTTTACGATGCGCGTGCACCGTGACACAAAATTAACAGAATGAAGTTGCCCACGGAAGATGGAATTATGCATTGGACATAATTTCAAAACAACATTCGAATTATAATAGAATTTATGTTACACTTAATGTAAAAGAATAATAATAAATATTTATTTATTTAATTTTTCAAATGTAAACTGAACTTTATTGACTATAATGACTCCTTTTCCAGTCTTTGATTATTTAATTGTAATTAATTATTTGCAAGCAATCAAAAACTTATTTTTAATAATGCCAAAGAAGTATAACTTCTTACGCGCGTACATAAGTACACGCACTCTTCTTTTTTGTTAAAAAAACGCACGATTTTACAAAATTTATATTAACTTACAACTAAACCGAATATTAACTCCAAGCGTGGCTGTACCTGAAATATCAAAAAGCTATAATACTACAAGATCGAAATTTTATACTACTTGAATCTTTTTTGATGCACCTCTCGACAAAGTGTACAATAAGGGTTCATGCCCACGAGACGGTTTCAACACGGCCCGGTTTTTGGCCGGAGCTAGGCCCGGCGAAAAACCGGGTCTATGTCCGGTCGACAGTCTTGTATGGGACACTATGACGCCATGCACACGACACCGGCGCTAGCTCCGGCTTTCCACGCAACCGGGCACGGTAATCGCCGCGTCTACGCCCGCGGCCCGGTGCGCAGTGGAGTATGAGTCGTGGGCATGAGCCGTAACAACTTTACGGGTTTTTATTAAGAGCTATTTTAATTTGGTTCTAGGGAGAACATTCTGTAGGAGTTGGCATCACTGCATTTGACAGATCCTGTAAAACTAAAACTAAAAGTCATCAACAATAGAATTTTTTTAATTGAAAACTTCGAAGTAAACAAACTGATCAAACTTTCTGAGTGACAAATATCCAGCAACTATATTCATTTGATTATTGAAATTTCGGTGCAGTACAACTTTCTGGCAATTTGAAATTAATTATTTGTGTAATCATGACTGACTATTTCCAAGAGATGGGATGGAGAGAATTGCAAGACGGTGAGCAGCCAAATCATTTTTTACATTTGGCTAGACTCTTGATGGATTATAATATATTTGACGACAACTTTACTGGAGAATGGCCTAGGTAAGAGATGGATGTCAGTTTTTTTATACCACAGAAATAATGTGTAACTTTTGTGGTTTCTGCTCTCTTTACCCATACATATGTGCTCTTATTATGTATAGGCTTCAATTGTATGATCCCTTTATTTTTTTAGTTTAGGATGGCAAATGTTGAATTTACTATATTATTTAGGAGTCCCAGTAATTTTATTAATCCTCTATAATGAACCAGAAATAGTATTGCAGCTAATTTATTCCCATTTCAGATTACCACCTCCAGCATCAAAAGAAGTAGTAAAAAATTTACCTGATATTACTATAGAAGTGGACGATAAGAATTGCCCTATATGCCTAAAGAATTTTAAAAAATCTGAAAAAGTTAAGCAAATGCCTTGCAATCATATTTTTCATCCAGCATGTATTTTGACTTGGTTGGAAAAGGTATTAACATGCACTTGAATTTTGATATATGTAGGAATGTATCTGAGAATATCTAAGCAAAATTCTTAATTGTTACCAATAATAATAATAATATTGGTTAATAAATTTAAAGTAATGTATTTTTTTTAAACAATTTAAACATTTGTCCCATGCTAAAAATAAAATATTTATTAAGCATTTAACTGTAAATTACTTTGCTATATATATTTCTATCCTGATAAATATCTGCATTATTATTAATTTTTCAGAGGTGAAAGAAATATAGTTTTAAAGTTCAATTGCTATATAAAATAAAAATATATCAAATTTTAAACTAGCTAAAATTTTTAAGTTGGCTATCTTAATATGTAAATATGGTTTTAATAATTTTCAGACCAACTCGTGTCCATTTTGTCGCCATGAACTACCCACTGATGATGTGGCATATGAAGCATTTAAGAAGGAAAAGAAAAGAGCTGAACAAAGAAAAGAAGATATAGAAGTTCTTCATAACTCTATGTTTAGTTGATGCTTCTATTATATAATATTTTATGGGTAGTAGGGCAATTATTATATGATTAAGTTTTTAAAGGTTCCAAATGACTGTACCATTTACTAATCATTCCTTTATAGAATTCCTATGGATATCTAAACATTGCAGTATCTATTCAGCAACTAACACCATGAATTAAGAATCTAAACTTACTTTGACTCTCATAAGCCAAGATTCAATGTTTCTGACATAGGAGAGTCATACTTAAGTTTCAACTCTGAATTTTATAATTGAAGCATAATTACATTTAGTAATATAGTTCTTATTAAGTCTGCAATCCGCTTTGAGGTTCAATTAGAAAAAAAAACATAATAAAAAAATTATCATCTAGATATATTTATATTATCAGTTACCTGTGTATTTAATTTTTGAGATGTAGTATACCAACAGAGAATACCACCACCACTTGTATTGCAGATTAAAGCATAATGTGATGTATGTTGAAAAAGCAATATTAAAAAGAATTTTATTTTCACAGTAAATTAAGATAATTCTTTAAAACAATTTGACTCAAATATGTTACCGTTATTGTGATCGCAAATATTATACTAATAATTAGAAAATATTTTTTGAAAATGCTTCTTTTTTAAATTGCAATTATATTGTGTACTTTTTGAGGGGAAATAGTGGCTGTCAAAAATCTAAATAAACACTGTCACAACTTCATCTAGAATTTATTGTCATTTTTGTTAATAGAATGTGTCATGTATCAAAATATTGTAAAAATTTTTAGTTAAAATAAAATAAAAATTTAAAAATACAATAAACATTTTAAAATTTTAAAAACAGAGAAACAATGAAAAAACGGTAAGTCCATGTCACTTGTGTTTTTTTAATGTAATAAGAATAAAAATAAAAATGTATAATAATAATATATAATTTTCAGACTCTGTAAGTGTCCACCGAAATTGCAGCAAGTGTGCAAGGCAAAGCAAACCGATTGCAAAGATGTTTCCGAAATCATTGAGGCTCTTACATATCAAGCTGAATGTAAGATTTTTAATTATGAATTTGCCTGCGACTGTAATTAGGATCTCCTAGATTATATCTTAAAAATTAGCCTGATCGGTTAAAGTGTATCAAACAAATATAGGGTTTGTTAAAATTTTTATTATATAGGTACTATTTTTCAAGTTAAATGAATATTATGTTAGTGTTATCTAAAATGTTGTGTGTCGATTCACTACTTACTAATCCACGTGATGTATACAATGGGATGTTAAGAGCGCCCTTCCCCGTCCGACGAACGGCAACGCGAGCATGGCCAAAAAGCTTGTTGTTTCATCCACATGGCTAACAAGCAAGTGAGAACGCGATAACATTGAAAGAAAAATAGTGTGCGGAAATTTCATAAAACTTGTTCCAAGAAATACGTGTTTTTTCGTAAGCCTTACAAGATTATGAAAAAAAAAAATTTTACATTTAGAAACTCCATTACATTTGCAAGGTTTCTATGCAAATATTTATTTCCGGTTACAATTAATAAGTACATTATAAACGCCCAAACTTCATATAAAATTTGTGCAAAAAGGCAGATTTTTGGAGATTTGTACTGAATTTGTTTCTTAAAATTTTGATTTCGCGTTTTAATAGAAACCTAAATATAGTGCACAAGATGCCTATTAGTTCATAACTTTCAAAGAAATACCTGTTACAACGCCATAATCTCTTACGAGCGTTTGTATGAAAAGATAGACGGGTTGGCCGCTCTAAATAAATAATTAGGCGTCCTAAAATCGCTCATCACTAAGTGGACATCGGTCACTTTCCGTTATTTATGTATTACCAAAGACAATGGAAACAAGTGTATAAAGTTAACGAATCACGGAAGGGCGTTGATGGAAAAATAGTTTTATGTTGTCTTTGTGATTGGCCGTATTCATACATGAAATTTAGCTAAGAAAATATTACATTTAAATCTATCTAGGTTCAAAAAAGGAGAAGAAATCTAAGCCACCTACATTTAAAACAAAACCATTCAAGCCGAGGCATTATAAGGACACATGTGTTCCCATGGCGCCCTCTATGCATACTAGGTAAGGGTATTTGATAAATTAAGACAACAACGTGGACGCTGCCTGTAGGTTCAATGATTGGGAAAAATATCGGAAGAGAAGTTAAAGTTCACGCCGAGAAACAATCTTTTTAAGATTTTTACTAAGCTTTAACGTTTTATGATAAACAGAAGGCGTTAGTTTAAATTTTATCACAAGCCTTTGATACTGCTTACTGCGAATACCACTTTTTTATTAATTTATTTATATGTAAAAAAACAAAAATATTAGGAATGCATTATTCCTATAACCGCTGAAATATTTAAATTTTAATAAACACTTAATGTATGCCGTTTCAGGTTAAGATACATAGGTCATTGTTCGGCAGAACCGCCTAGTAGAAGATCTAAAAACGCGAAAAGGTAATCATTCTTACATGTTATCTACTATCTATATCGTTAAATTGAAAAAAGTCAAAATAAGTTTCATACGCTATATTTATGGTATAGTCCAATTAATTACCTGTAGCAACGCCTGAATAATCGCATACACGGTGATGTGCTGAGTTTTAGCGTCTTGAAAACATTCAAAATTACCTTCTTTTAAAAAAACGTACTTTCTGTTCTTTCAAAAACTATCATTTCCTCATGTACTGCCATACTTAAACATGCATTTTTAAATAATTGTGTTTAATAACATTTAAAAATGCCGAACATAGTCAAGACAAGCCACAGATAGTGTTATAAATAAAATCGAACAATTTAAGAATCGGACCGAAACAACTCGACTTTTGTAGACCGACTCTTTTTGAATTTTAGAAAGAGATACCCCGGGATAGAGTCTACATCGTCATCAGACGAAGGAAGTGGCATCTTAAGAAAAAGGAAGAAAAAAGAAAGTAAAAAGAAAAGGGTGACGTACTTGGATTTGGTACCCGCTGATATATCTTTACCTGTTCCCCCTCCTATAGTGAAACACACGTCATCTGACAAAGAGATTTTTAATGTAAGTAATATTTTTAACTTATATATAAGGAAATTGTTATTCCTCTAAGGGTCGATTCGACCAAACTTCAATTTATACACGAGTAACTATACCAAGAATAATCTATTCCATGATTTTAATCTCGAGTAAATCCATAGTCGTTTGTCCACGTAATCGAAAGTATAATTGCGCTAGGAATAACAATACGCGAATAGCAAGAGAATGGTGAACGAAAATAAAACTCGGCAAATAAATGTTGTTCTACAACGGGACAGTGTAAGAGCATACATCATGTCAACTCGATTTTGCCGTATTATAGAGTGAAAAAGTAGCTTTTAACAGGTGTCAAACGACAACAAAAAGTTTTTATTTCTTGTTTGTTTGAGGCTTTCGTCTAAAAAGGAACTTCTGTTGAGCCTAGTTGAATTTCATTCTAATATTATAGAAAATAAAAAATCTAAAAATAAATAAATAAATAATAAATTGTTTAAACGTTTCATTATACAATGCCAGACTATTAATTTAGTGCGTTGCGTTGACTTGAAATTAAAACACAGAATACATATTTGTGAAATGACAGAAATCAGCTGATTGGACTGACTGACGCCATTAAATTATTCTAGGAATAGCTGTTATTCCGTGCGAAACGGCGGTATAGTAGCTATTCCCGAATAAGCCCACTATTCTTAGAATTTGTAGTTGGTAAAACGTAAAATTGATTTACTCTCGATTAACTGACGATTTATTCTAAGATTAAGATTTACTCTTGTTTGGTCGAATCGGCCCTAAGAGATCTGAGGTAAATTTACCTATTTTAATGTAGTTTTTTCCTATGCAAACGTTAGTTGAAGTCCAAGGCATTTGAAAAGCTTTTAATTTTTTTTAAATTATGAATGGCCTGGTTTTATCGCGTATATTTCCACTTGTACCGATGTTTCACTTGTATATTTAATCAAATTAAGTTTAGTAACTAAATTTTACCTTTAGTATTCCAATATGATAATCCGTTGTTTATTACTCTTTGTTATATAAACTTCGGAACAGATGATAAACTCTTAGCGATAATAATTTTGTCATCATGTTATCTTTTAAAAATTTATAAATTTTGTTGTTTTTACTATAGGTCCCTAGTCCTAAAACGAGTGGCGAAGTCATTAGTGCTGAAAAGACTGTCGTCAAACTAAAGGATCATAAGCCGCCATTACCACCGAATGCGGGTTATGAGTGAGATGATAATATTTAATTGCTTATTAAACGGTTAAAAGTTGTGATAGCCTATTAGTTAAGCGTGCGATTCTTAGGGCGTAACCAAATATAGCGCGGCTGCCGCGCTTTATTGTGTGCAGGTGCATTCTCATTAGGGATGATCGATATTGACATCAATATCATAAGAAGAACCTTTTAATCTATTTCTTTGTTGATAAAGAGTAGTGAGGAAGTGTGAGAGAGAAAGAGCGAGCGAGACTACGAAGAACGAACGAAGTGAACGACCGAACGAACGTTGTGATTTGGTTGAGCGATTTGTTGATGCGTTCATATAAGACTTAAATTTTTTCGTAAATTGCATTGGTCTTGCCGAGGCCGTGAGCTAACATTGATGTTTTTGCTTTCAACATCGATGCTCATCGAACATTGATGACCATCGAGCATCCCTAATTCGCATTTCGTTGTTGTGTCCTACGAATGCTGTTTGTTGCTGCCGCGCACCTGTTTGGTCATGCCCTTAGGGTATGATAATCTTTAGGGTCGTCTTCGAAACCCCAAGTGGGCACAGTTTATTCCTTTCTACGCGCAGTTACAATATGTGCGGAATAAAATCATTGCAGGTTGGGCAGTAAACCCAAAAATACTTGCCCATAATGAAAAATTATAAATATTATTATTATAATTATTTTTAACCTTTTTTTTAAGCTATTGCATAGATTTTATCGCGGGCTTTGAGCGAGGCGACTGAATCAAGAAATTCCGTAACGAAAATAACCTAACCTAATATATGTG